CAGTAAAAAAGAAGGGATTTTTTTGTTCCCCCGGGGGGGGGGGGGGGAGAGCTTCTCAGGGGAGATCAGCATCACCAGTAATGAGTCAATAACCATGAGCCTAGTGGTGTTGATTAGTTGATAACAGTATATATTAATGCAGTATATGGACTCTGTGATTAAATCCTGGCTTCCTCATTTATTATCTTGGCAAGTTATTTGGTGTCTTAAGCTTCAAGCTCTTTATCTGTAAAATGGGAATAACTTGTGAAGTTAAACAAAATTATTCATGTTAAGACTTCATAATATTTGGCACATAGTAAGTGCTCAATTAGTATTAGCTGGTATTGCTATAACTATTATTGTTGTGACTGAGAGAAATTTTAATTTTATTGTGATTTTACTTTAGGAAAGCCCAATAAAGTCAGAAGATCAATTGACTTTGGATCAATAGGCAAAAGGGCCTACTCACACAGGTGAATCAGCAACTCCCACATTTACTGGAAACACATTTATCAAACATCTACCAGTTTTCAGGTACTGCAAAAGCTTGAGAAAAATAACCCGAAGATACATTTTATTGTAAGATCCATCATGATCCCAACTACTCAGCTCATAGTCAGAGGACTCGGTCTCAAAAAATAACACAAAAAGGGTTCTCACATAGATTCTGCAAACGATTCTGTTTGTTCTATACTGGATTAACAATTTTGTTTCTCAAAATGGCTGTGGTGGCTTTCTTCTCTGATCATTTACCTTTCTTCCTCTCAATGACTATGATTGCTTCTGGCATTGTTTTTTTGTCGTCATTACTGGAGGGATAGCCTTATATGAATCATGCCAAAACTCAAAGGAGTTCCACTCGAACTAGAAGAATTAGCGAGGCATTGAACTGCCCAGGGTCATCCTGTGAATTTTGAAACAGCGGCAGCAACAGCAAGCACCTGGCTATGATATTATATTAAACCTGATATCTTTGAGCCTTTTAACCTTCTGAAAGCTCCTTGAGTATTATTTAAATAGAAATAAATGAGGCTTCTTAAAAAAAAGTCACGACTTAGACCCCATCCCCTCTCTAGGACGAAGCAACTACCTTTTCTCCAGAGAAGGTGACATTTGATCTTAAAGGTTATGTGTTTGGTGAAACCTTTTGAACAGAGAAAATAGAATGTTCCTAGGGCACAGGCATAAAGGAAAGAGCATGGCATTGAGCAGGGAACAGCTATAAGTCCAGAAAGGCCGTCCAGATTGGAACAGAGGGGGTGGGGAAAGAGCAGTGTGAAATGCAGCTAGAGGCAGGTTTGGGTGAGATTGTGATGGATCTTGTTTTTGTGTTAAGAAGTTTGGTCCAGAGGGCATATTTTTGCTTCACAAAGACGACTTCTGGATGTTCTTTCTGTTATTTCTTTGGATACCTCTCTATGTTGAGTCAATCTCACTTCTTAAATCCAACTAGGCCATTCGTGTTTCTTCCCATGTAAGTTAAACTGATACTGATAGATATTAATTTGCCAGGGCTGGTGTTAGCTTTATGTGTTCCACAGCCCTAGAGACTTGTTCTAATGGTATTTTAGGAGTGAAGATATATTGAGGTTCAACACCTAATATTTTCTGGGAGCAAGGATGTTTCAAAAAACTAATTAGAGAATTTTTATGTCATTTCAACTAATTGGCTGTAATGGCTCTTTCCCTCCCCACTATTATGTGTCACCTTCCAGCAGATCACAAAAAATATTTAGACATTTACTTAGCTTTTTATTTAATAGTGATCATGAGATGCCTTTGACTTATGAAAATAACATAGAACAAATATAATACAAAGTCCCTGTCCTCAGGGATTCCATTTTCCGAATAGAATTGGAGTGTGACTCAGCATCCTTTCTTATGTGTCAGGGCAGGGGTGTCACTTCTCGTTCTATTTCCGTCAAGCAAGTCACATTTTCCATTCTTCCAGAAAAGTGGATTTTCTGTGGGACTTGAATATGAGGAGGCAATGACTTAGTAGAATTTGGGAGGATAGGCAGACTCGACAGGACCAAAGACAGTGGAGATAAAGTCTCTTCCCACCAGCTATGTGCACAGCACTGTGGCTTCCAGTAGTTAGTGTACTTGGTAGAGCGACAATGAGTGTATGTAGACATCACAAATTATTATAGAGTGGGTAGAATTTGTAAGTGGAACCAGAGTAAAGAGAAGGGGATGCTCTGCGTCTGTTTGAGAGACAGTCTGCCTTGAACAAGGGTTTGAAGGGGAGTAACAAATGAGATTGAGTCAGCTGGGGAAGACTTTACATCAAGGTTTGAGTTGAACTTTTTAGCCTGTATGACACTGACTTTTAAAAAATCATTAAGATTGCCTGGGGTGCTTCTTTAAAATACAGACCCGGAGGCCCTATCCCAGACCTACCGAATCAGAATCCTCAGGGATGGCACCCAAGAATCAGTATTTTTCAGGAGGTCCCCAGGGGATTCCCTCACTCTTGTACAGTGGGGACCAGTGATGTAGACAGTGTGCGATCCAGAGATCATGACAACATGATAGTGCCTGTGCTTTTCCTTCTGCAGAGGAAGAGAGTGAGTAAGGAAGCACATCCAGAAGATTGCTGCTATGACCCCTTTCTACCCAAAGTATGGTCCTTGAGTCAGCAGCTTGGTCATCACCTGAGAGCTTGTTAGAAATAAAGAATCTCAGACCCCACCCTACACCTCCTAAATCATAATCTGCATTTTAACAATATCCCCAGGAATTTACATTCGCATTAAAGTTTGAGAAGTGCTGGTGTACACATTAGGGAGATCTGGCAGAAAAGGTTAAGAAACCAGGGCAGGAACTGGGAACAGATAAGAGACTGGAATCTCAAGTTCAGAATGGAACCAGCAACTGGACCAACATGAAACGGAATGAAGAGCCACTTGGGGTTTTTTGATATCCCTGATAATGGCTGGGAATTGTCCCAGACAGCGTGGCACGTAAGCTGTTTTTGCCATGATACCGGTACAAGAATCCCATTACAAGTGTAGGGAATATAAACGATGGAGAAACCCAAGATGGTGAATTCTTTTTTAAGGCTCATGACGCACAGAATCAAGAGCAAGGGCAAGAGGCAAGCCACTCTGGAGGGAAATGACGAATCCGGTGTTAGGCATATTGAGTTCACTAAATGAACAAGGCAAAGAAGTCAATGGAAATGAGAGCTGAAATCTGAAGGCAGAGAGGTAAATAATTAAGAGGAGTGCCTGAGAACCAGAAGGCTAAATGTTTAAATGTATAAGGAAAGGCTAACCAAGGATCACGTGATGTTAGCCTTTGAGGAGAAGGTCATATGGTGAGAATCAGTGGGTACTGAGCATGATTTCAGTATTATATTTGTGACAGCACCATGGAGAAGCTGCTGAAAACATTGCAGCATCTCTTCCTTGAGAAGAATCACAGATGTTAAGTTTTAGTGCTGCAGCAGGAACAAAGGAGATTGATGACTCTATCCAGATCCTACTAGTATAATGCTGGGATCATTTCAAATTCCCTTCTCTTTTCTTAACACTCTGTGACTTTTCATGGGCTTGGGAACTTAGGAAAGAGATGGGGGTGTCTACTGAGAGAGTCACGTTTCATTTTGAGCGTCGCCAAGCTGCAGGAGTAAACATAGATGCCCAGAAATAGCCTAGAGTGAAA